AGACAGAGTCTTGCTGTGTTGCCCAGGCTGGAGTGCAGTGGTGTGATCTCGGCTCGCTACCTCTGCCTCCTGCGTTCAAGCAATTCTCTTGCCTCAGCCTCCTGAGTAGCTAGAACTACAGGTGCATGCCACCACGCGCAGCTAATTTTTGTATTTTTAGTAGAGATGGTGTTTCATTCTGTTGCTCAGGCTGGTCTCTAACTCCTGAGCTCAAGTGATCCGCCTACCTCGGCCTTCCAAAGTGATCGGATTACAGGTGTAAGCCATCGTGCCTGGCCCATTCTCACAAACTTATTCCGGGGAAGTCCCTGCCTGTAGTTTGCAGTGACTGTGAGTGAGTCACTTCTTGAAGCTGGATAAACTGCTCCCCTCATTAGCAAAATATCAAGACAAACCACAGACTTGGTAGCAAACCTGGCAGAGGCTGGCATGTCAAAGGGAGCGAGCACCTTGGCAGTCAACAGATAGTAAGTTGAACATTGTTCTGTGCTCTGTACAGGGCTGTGGTTTTCACTACCACCTCCACGGCCGCGGCAGGTGGGCAGGGGGCCACACACAGTGGCCTGAGAAGCGTCTGGTTTGAATAACTAAAAAAAATGTACTTCTTGGGCAATTTCTTCCAACAAATAGCCAGGAGTGAAGAGGTCTCGCTACAAGAACCATGACATGGGGAGCTCAATTTTAACTCTAGGACTTGGAATTGTCCCAGAAGAAGCCAGGCGTGGTGGCTCATGCCTGTGATCCCAGCACTTTGGGAGGCCAAGGTAGGTGGATCACCTGAGGTCAGGAGTTCAAGACAAGCCTGGCCAACATAGTGAAACCCCATCTCTACTAAAAATAAAAAAATTAGCCAGGCATGGTGGTGGGCATCTGTAATCACAGCTACTTAGGAGGCTAAGGCAGGAGAATCACTGGAACCTGGGAGGCGGAGGCTGCAGTGAGCCAAGATTGCGCCACTGCACTCCAGCCTGGGTGACAGAGCAAGACTCTGTGTCAAAAAGAAAAAAAAAAAGGAATTGTCCCAGAAGAGACGGGGGGAATGAGGTCTCCACTAACAGATGGAAATATTACCCATGGCACTGGATCCTGATGAAAACCCAGAGAACACTGGCCCCATTTCCTGGATGCTGATCATAAATTAGATTTGGAAAAATAAGAAAGGTCAGTTGTAGTGACTTCCAGGCCTTTACTCTTCGCTCCCTGGGGTCCAAGACCACACAGAAATGAGTACTGTTTCAAAGGCGCCAGGACTGCTAAGCACGTGGCTCCAGAGGGTAAGCGAGTTAAGAAGTAAAATGTGGGAGGAGGGGAAACTGCAGACACCAGGCACCCTCAAAGCAGCAAGGGTCAATTATCCTCACATACCAGCAACCTGGCTCACTACAGGGCCTGCAGCCCAGCTATGAGTGCAAAGGGAAAGGCCATCTTGGGCTGGGCGCTGTGGCTCACGCCTGTAGTCCCAAAACCTTGGGAGACCCAAGCGAGCAGATCACTTAAGGTCAGGAGTTCGAGACCAGCCTGACCAACATGGTGAAACCCCATCTCTACTAAACATATAAAAATTTGCCAGGCGTGGTGGCAGGTGCCTGTGATCCTAGCTACCAGGGAGGCTGAGGCAGGAGAATCACCTGAACCTGGGAGGAAGTTGCAGTGAGCGAGATTTCATCACTATACTCCAGCCTGGGCAACACCGTGAGATTCTGTCTCAAGAAAAACAGGCCATCTCATCCTCCAGGAATAGCTGTCAATGGCTGTTCACAGAAATCCAAGTTTTTCTTTAATTTTTTTAAAATGATGGATTTTTGGTAAAAATAATTTAAACAATATAGAATTACAAGGCAGTAAAAATTCCATCAGCCAGAGCTAATCACCTTTAATCTTTAAACAACTTCCCAGATATGCATGGGTATCTGTACACACACATACTCACATGCCTATGCTGCTATATGACATCAGTTTGAAATGATCATACGACACCAACTGTTCCCCCACAAACACATGGCCCATTTTCAAGGAGATGCACAAGGTCAGTTTATAAATGATGCAACAGCACACAGAATAAAGAACATCATCTGGAAGCTAAACAGTTTAAACATGGAGCTCTGCAACTCCCTAGCTGGGTGGCCTTGGGCATCATTTGGCCCCTGAGTCTCAGTCGCCACATCTGTAAAGTGGGAAGTGATCACTGCAGCCTTGGAGGCTTGTTACAAGATTAGCATGTGCCCCCTTAAAGTCCCATATTTTCATTACCAATGTCCTACCTGCTGAGAAAAAGAGGATCAGGAAGGAATGATCAGGATCCTTAGGGCTTCAACCACTCTGAGTCTGTGTTCTGACCTATCCCATGCTCTTATCCAGCCTCGGAGAGGGCAATGTGCACGGGTGACCCTGCTAGGTCATTAACAGGTATTCCTGAGCTTGTGACAAAACATTTCTGTTGCCGTCACTTGAAACAAAACGTGATTGTTTAGGTGTATATGATGCTGCATGAACATATGAGAAACAGATGATTGAGCAACCATCAAATAAATGTCTACATTTCATTAAATCTTTTTTTGAGACAGGCTCCCATTTTGTCACCCAGGCTGAAGTGCAGTGGTGCAAACACGGCTCACCGCAGCCTCAACTTCCTGGACTCGGCCGGTCCCTTCACCTCAGTCCCGCAAGCAGCTGGTCTACAGGGCACGCAGATCACGCCTGGCTAATTTTTGTGTTTTTTGCAGAGATGGGTTTCTGCCATGTTGCCCAGGCTTGAATTTCACTAAATCTTTTTAAAATGACAAAACAAATACTTGCAGTGGAGAGCTGCTTCAGATAAGCAAGATTAGGGAGAATTATGATTCAGATGAATTTAAGAAAACGTCTATTTCCTCTTCCAAACTCTTACTCACTGCACCCCAGAAACTGAAATCTTACAGTGACAAGATTGGCAAGATAAAGATTAAAATGCCACCACCAGTGGGGCCATCAGTAAAGAGGCAGTACTTCCTGTGGAGAGGATTCCATGCTGAACACCAAGGCCCTACAAATTGCTGATTCCTTCTACTCACTAATTCCATTTCTTAGATTTTCCATTTCTTTTACTTTCCTAGCAAAATAATCCTAGATGTAAGGGGGTGGGGATGCTAAGTATAGATTGCCCTTTGATTAGAATTTACAATAAGGGAAAATATTCAAGATTATCAGGTTAAGTCAGTTAGGATAATTTACCTGATATAATCTAAAGCTATTTAAATAGCCAGATGTAGTGGCTCATGCCTGTAATCCCAGAACTTTGGGAGGCTGAGATGGGCGGATCACCTGAGGTCAAGAGTTGAAGACCAGTCTGGCAACATGAAACCCCATCTCTACTAAAAATACAAAAATTAGCTGGGCATGGTGGCACGTGCCTGTGGTTCCAGCTACTCCGGAGGCTGAGGCAGGAGAACCGCTTGAACCCGGGAGGCAGAGGTTACAGTGAACTGAGATCGAGCCACTACACTCCAACTCCTGCCTGGGTGATAAAGTGAGACTGTCTCCAAAAAAAGCAAAAAAAATGCTTATGCTGTATGCTATGAAAAAAAAAAAGACTATAAAATTGCAGATACCGTATGACTTTTAAAAGTTATTTTAGAAAACAGATGTATTGTTCTTAATATACATTTTTTTAAAACTGAAAGAAAATAATGTTGACAGTGACTGCCTTAGGTGTCCTCTTGTATCTAAATTTATTATAATGAGCATGTATTACTTTCCCATGAAAATATTTTTTTCAAAGAAAGAAAAATCCTAAAATAGCAAACAGGAAAGCAGTAACAAGTTAAACAAGAATAAAGCTAAATCATTCAGTATGTAAAGAAGAACTCCCTCCTGAGAACGTGGCCTCTCGGTGTGCCCTGAGAAGAGGGTGGATGGCAGGGAAGGCCAAGTGGACAGACTCTGGGAATAACTGTGGGGGTTGGCACAGCCCCAAACAGAGGTCTCAAGACAAGCCGGTGCACAGCAGTCTTCCCCTGTGAGCACAGTCAGGTCAGCCCCCCATCTTACGAACCTGAAGCTCACACATGAGCAGCAGCATGAACCAATGCTGGAACTGAATTTCTGGGCACTTAACAGAGCCTGGGCTGCCCCACCCCACCGCCAGGTGCAGAGAACCACCAGGGCCTGACTGGAGATACTCACCTGGAGGTAGATTGCTGCCTCTTGGTAATTCATCTCCCAGTTGTGTGCGGGGCTGGAGGGGGAACTCTCGCCCCCAGAGCTGAGATTGGGTACCTGGGAGTCATGGATGGCATAGCTGCCGCCATCTGCAGTGGAAGAGGAGAGAGATTTACTTGGCACCCAGGCTTAAGAATATAAAGACACCATTCGGCAGAAGAACAGCTTCCTATGCTCACACGGACATCCCATCATCTTCAAATCCACCTCCATGCTGTCTGTGCACTGATAGTGGCAAGAATTAGCACAGCTGGTTACAAATGTTTTCCATTCTCTTGATAAGTGAAAGAAGCAAGTACAAAAGAGTACAAATTGTGTGCTATCTAATGTGTACAAAAGGGAGGACACAAGAAAACATAAATACATCGACTTATCTTTACCAAAAGAAACACAGGAAGGAAAAATGAGATGCCAGTGAAATTGGTTGTCCTACAAGGGCTATGAGGAACAGGGAAGATGGATCCTTTTTGAATACTCTGACTCTTGGAAGCATATTAATATTCTACTTAGTTAAAAATTAAAAACAACTGCATTTGTCCCCGGGTGCAGGGCCATCTGTTGCTCTTCCCTGCTGGTGGCCACGCCCTCCTCTCCCAGCAACGCTGGGCCAGCTGGGCCATCTGTCTGGGGAACACCCTCCCCTTGCCCTCTGTCCACATTGTCTGCCTCTGGCCGACTCCACCCCTGGCTCTGGGCAGGTGACCTGGGCCTGGCAATGAGCCCCTTGTCTCCCTTCGGCCCAGGGATTGGTTCAGGCATGGCTGTTGACCCAAGTCCGGCCAGTGACAGCTGAACTTGAAACTGTCCCCAGAGCAATTAGGAAGGAGGGGCTTTTTCCCTGTTGTTGCTGGCGGCTGCCTCTGCCACCACTTGGGAGAAACTGGCCTGAGAAGGACGTCAGCAGAGAACAAAACAATAACCAAGAGATAACGCTGACACCAGCTGCGTGCCTGAAATCTACCCCTTAATTTCCAAGATCCAAGCTGATAAAGAGATCCCGTTTCAGTCTGAGTTTGGTTTGTCAATAATCCTGAGACTCTACTGACACAGTAAACAATGCCACCAAGAAATGACGCTTTGTTTGTGAATTGATTGGAAAGAAGTGAATCTGAAAGAGAAATCTGTAAATCCACATTGTAAATGATCCACCTGAAGGAATGTAAAGAATCTAATGTTTTGGGCTAAGCACGGTGGTTCACACCTATAATCCCAGCACACTCAGGTGACATGAATCACCTGAGGTCAGGAGTTCAAGACCAGCCTGGCCAACACGGCAAAACCCTGTCTCTACTAAAAATACAAAAATTAGCCAGGTGTGGTGGCAGGTGCCTGTAATCCCAGCTACTAAGTAGGCTGAGGCATGATAATAGCTTGATCCTGGGAAGCAGAAGTAGCAATGAGCCACGATCTCGCCACTGCACTCCAGCCTGGGGAAGAGAGCAAGACTCTATCTCCAAAAAACAAAACAAAACAAAACAAACTAATACTAGGATTTGCACAGTTCACAGGAAGCAAATGTGTAAGGCTTACAACCATGCAGAGGATAGCTCAAGGGCTGCTGGGTTGCAAAAGGTCCTTCTGATCTTGAACTGCCAGCCAAGAGCAACCAGGTTTAGCCACATGCAACTTACTTCTCCAACTCCCCGATTTTTTTTTTTTTCCCCGCAAGACACAAGGTCTCACTTTGTCACCTAGAATGGAGTACAGTGGCATGATCATGGCTCACTGCAGTCTTAAACTCTTGAGTTTAAGAGATCCTCCTGCTTCAGCCTCCCAAGCAGCTGGGACTACAGGCATGCACCACCATGCATGGCTAATTTTTGTATTTTTATAGAGATAGAGTCTTTGTTGCTGTTGCCCAGGCTGGTCCCGAACTCCTGGAATCAAGCAATCCTCCTGCCTTGGCCTTCCAAAGTATTGGAATTACAGGTATGAGCCACTGTGCCCAGCCACTCCACCCTTTTCCTTTCTTTTTTTTGAGATGGAGTCTCACTCTGTCACCTAGGCTGGAGTGCAATGTCGTGATCTCAGCTCACTTTAACTTTTCAAGCAATGCTCTTGCCTCAGGCTCCCGAGCAGCTGGGATTAGAGGCGCTCGCCACCATGCACTGCTAATTTTTGTATATTTAGTAGACATGGCATTTTGCCACGTTGGCCAGTCCGGTCTTGAACTCTAACCTCAAGTGATCTACTCACCTCGGCCTCCCAAAGTGCTGGGATTACAGGTGTGAGCCACCATGCCTGGCCAACCCTACTGATTTTTAAAAACAGTTTCGCCAAGGTGTGACACAATAAACTGTATATATTTTAAGTGTACAGTTTGAGTGACGTATGTGCATATCTGCAAAATCACCACAACAATCAAGATAACATGTCCATCACCCTCCCGTGCCTCCTTGCCCATCCATGCCCAGGCAATTACTGATCTGCATTCTGTGACTATTACATGAATCTGCATCTATTATATTATTACATGATGCATTATATAAATGAAATCATACAGTATATATTATTTTTGCTTGGCTTCTTTCACTTAGCATTATTTAAAAATTCATCCACATTTGCACTGTGTAGCAACAGTTCATTCTATTTCTTTGCTGAGTAATAGTTTATCCATTTACCTGTTGATGAACAGTTAAGATTGTTTCTAGTTTTGGGTTATTTCAAATAAAGTGGATGAATTACTTGAGGTCAGGAGTCAAAGACCAGTCTGGGTAACATAGTAAGACCTCATCTCTACAAAAATATATAAAATTTAGCTGGGCATGGTAGCTTGCACCTGTAGTCCCAGCTACTCAGGAGGTTGAGGTGGGAGGATTGCTTGAGGCTGAGAGGTCAAGGCTAGAGTGAGCTATGATCATGCTACTGTACTCTAGCCTGGGTGACAGAGCAAGATCCCATCTCAATAATCATAATAGGCCAGGTGCAATGGCTCACGCCTGTAATCCTAGCACTTTGGGAGGCCAAGGCAGGCTGATCACCTGAGCTCAAGAGTTTGAGAGCACCCTGGGCAACATGGTGAAGCCCTGTCTCTACTAAAATACAACAAATTAGCTGGGCATGGTGGCACATGCCTATAGTCCCAGCTAGTTGGGAGGCTGAGGCATGAGAGCTGCTTGAGCCCATGATGAGAAGTTTGCAGTGAGCTGAGACTCCACCACTGCACTCCTGCTTGGCCTATAGAGTGAGACTCTGCCTCAAAAAAAAAAATAAAAATAAAATAATAATAATAATTAGTCAATTTCTATTTAAAAGAAAAAAAAAAGCCTGCTGGGATTTGATTGAAATTGTGTCAAATCTACTAGGGAGACATCTTAAAAAACCAATGAACACGATATATCCCTCAGTTTATTTTGATCTTTAATTTCTCTTAGTAATGTTTTGTAGCTTTCAGTATACAGACCTGACACATCTTTTGTTAGATTTATCACTAAGTCTTTCATATTTCTGATGCCGTTGTAAATGAAGTTGCCTTTTAATCTCAATTTCCAATTGTTTGTTGTTAGTATACAGAAATACAACTGATTTTTATACATTGACTTTCTATCCTGCAACCTTGATAAACTCACTTAAAAGGTCTAGTAGCCTCTTTTGTAAATTTCACAGGGTTCTCTGTATAGATCATGTAGTCTGAGATTAAGGAGTTTTACTTCTTCCTTTCACATCCAGATGCCTTTTTTCATGCCTTACGGCACTGTTTAGAACCTCCCTTACCTATTGAATTTAAATGATGAGAAGGAATATCTTTGTCTCATTCCTGATCTTAGGGGAAAAGCATTCAGTTTTTCACCACGCAGTATGATGTAAGCTAGAAGTTCCTCGTAGATACCCTTTATCAGGCTGAGGAAATTCCTTTCTATGCCTAGTTTGTTGTGAGATTTTACTATGAATGGTTGTTGGATTTTGTCAAACACTTTCGGTGTCTACTTCAAGATGATTTCAGCTTGAGTATCCCTAATCCGAAAATTTGAAATCCAAATGCTCCAAAATTCAAAACTTTTTTTTTTTTTTTTTTTTTGAGACGGAGTTTCGCTCTTGTTACCCAGGCTGGAGTGCAATGGCGCGATCTCGGCTCACCGCAACCTCCGCCTCCTGGGTTCAGGCAATTCTTCTGCCTCAGCCTCCCGAGTAGCAGGGACTACAGGCACGCACCACCATGCCCAGCTAATTTTTTGTATTTTTAGTAGAGACGGGGTTTCACCATGTTGACCAGGATGGTCTCGATCTCTTGACCTCGTGATCCACCCGCCTCGGCCTCCCAAAGTGCTGGGATTACAGGCTTGAGCCACCGCGCCCGGCCAAAATTCAAAACTTTTTAAGCACCAACATGACACTCAAAAAAAGAAAAAATGCTAATTGGAGCATTCTGGATTTCACATTTTCAGATTAGAAATACTCAACCACTAAGTATAATGCAAATATTCCTAAATCGGAAAAAAATTAAAAATCAGAAATACTTCTGGCCCCAAGCATTTTGAATAAGGGATGTTCACCCTGTGTATGGTTTTTCTTTTTCCTGTGGTTAATACAGTGAATTACAATGACTGATTTTGAACATTAAACCAACCCTGCATTCCTGGGCTAAGTCCCTCTAGACATGATGTATTACCCTTTTTATATATTATTGCATTTGCTAAAATTGTTTAAATTTTTTGTATCTATGTTCATGTAGAATGTTGGTCTGAAGTTTCTTTCCTTGTGATGTCTTTGCTGGTTTGGGTGTCAAGGTAATGCTGGCCTTATAAAATGGGCTAGAAAATATCTCCTCCTTTTCAAATTTCTGAGTTTGTGTTAAATTGTTATTATTTCTTCCTTAACATATAGTGTTCACCAGGAAAGCTATCTGGGCCTGAAGTTTTCTTTCTAGGAAAGTTTTTTTTTACCACATATTAACTTTCTTCAGTAGATATAGGGCCATTCAGGTTTTCGATTCTTATTGAGAAAGCTTTGATAGCTTATATCTTTCAAGAAATGCCAAGAGGTTAAGCAATCTGTCCAAGATGACACAGCTGTAAGGGCTGAGCCAGGCTTTGGTCCCTAGCAGCTTGCCTCCAGGCAGATGCACTTAACCACTACACTGCACTACCCC